ACGAAATTTTTACAGTATTACTTAATGATATCGGTTAGAATCTATGTATAATGTTTAAATATATTACATGCGTATACGTATACAGTATAGGTTAACCGTCATCGGATTTTTTTTTTTTTTTTTTTCTTAACAATAACGTACAGTGCGATGGGAACTGCAATCGATTTATATTCAACGAATGCAATATCATATTGTACACAAACGTTCGTATACACACTCGTAATATTATTATATACAAACCACGTGTCCACATGCATCGATTTCGATATTATCATTCTCGTTTATAGCTGCGCGTTTTCGAAGTTTAAAATTACATGATGTATACGCTCGCGCGCGCGTCCGCAAACACACACACTCACACACGTACATGTACATTTACTACAAATTTTAGTTAATTTATTATTACCCTTTTTCTTTGCTCACGCACAACACCCGCTTGTACATTTGCACACGCGAACATAAATACAGACGCGCTCGGAATGTGACTGGTGGCATTTTATACCGTGGGCATATTTAGCCTTTTGTAACTTTCTTACAATGATAGGGATCGGAATGTATATTCAATTGTTGCCATTATTATTGCATTACTCATGACCGTGACATTAACGGTGACAGTAACGACTACAACCCTAGGACCTCCTTTCCCTATTAATCGATATGATGACGACCAGTGTTGTCCGAGTACTATCCACCGTCAACATATGGTTTGGCGATATGTATATATTATCATGATGGTGTAATATGTGCACAGAGTTGGATACAGAATACAGCGTTGTATCGTTGCCAATGGGTTATTATTTTCGATAGAAATACGCTTATGTTATGCTTACGCGCGCGGCGTACCTATGCATATTATGTTATTCGACGATTAACGAATTAAAAGCTGTTGTTCACATTTACATTCCATCCGCCGGATGATGATGATGTAATATTCAAATTAGAAAAAATAAAGAATAAAAAAAAAAAACAACATAACACATCGACAACAGGAGAAAATATTCAAATACGTGTTATGTACAGGGTGTTAGGCGCACTGTTTGCGTCCGGTAGACGCGGACAGGAACTGCGGAGATTCACTGAACGCACTTAGGGAACCGAAGATCGGTGTGCGGCACTCTATACACACTGCGAGACGTTTCCCTGTTTACACGAATATTATACACACCAGTAGAATACTTGAAGTCCTTGTTCTATTTACACACACACACACACACGTATTCATATTTATATGCTCATTTCTATCGTTTCATTAGTCATCGGATTTTCATGAGCTGATTATATTTTTTTCGACTTAGAATATAATTTGTGAATAATATTTTGCGTCGAAGTAAATTTGTTTTCTTTCTAATATCGCAGCGTTTGCTGTACAAAAATACGTCTAATCAGGTGTTAGATAAAATAACGCGTGATTTAAGCGTATCTTATTTAAATACGAGTAAGTTTATATCTATATAAATAATAATTATTGAGCTGAATAGTTTATATTACACAAAGAAAAACAAGTAATGCATTGAACACAAATATGCAGTAGTTTTTAATTTTTATGATGACAACTCGATTGCAAATACGTACTACCAGGGATTATTCTAAGGATTTTTATCAACTACGCATTTTGTTTAAATAAGTCTATCAAAATAGAACTATGATCTCAAAATATACTGTCAAATTATAGTTAAAAATGATAAAATATGTAGCTTCTATGTGAAGTAATTTAAAATGTAATTATTTAAAAGATAAAACAATTTACATTCGTGTTTAAAATATTTTTTTTTAATATTTTTTTAATAAATTTCCTTTTTACTTTGTTTATAAATTATAATGTAATGTATAAAATAGCACTAAACAACATTGAATTAAAAATCAATTACTCAAAAGTTTATTATGAAGTGCGCATCTACCTTTTCCAAATACGCAAAATAAGCCCAACTGCGCTTTAGAATAAGCCCTGCATAATACTATTATTATTACTAACTATTAAGTAAAATGATACAAAATTTTATATAAATTCTCGATAAACAAGTGTAAGCAAAATGTTAACAATATAATTAGAGTAATAAAAGTCTTGCTCGTAAATACTGTAAATACAATAATTCATACTTATTGATATAATTAGTATGTATTGGTTTACATATATACGTATCGAATAGCAATTATGTCCAACCAAACTTTTCTAAACAATTTAATCACAAATTTAATACATCTTGTAAAATATCATATGGACAATAGCCTTCAAATATACGAAGACAACTTGGTGCACAATTTTCAAATGATTATCGTTTACCTACAGTGAAATTTGTGAAAGACGAATCTGGGATTTTTAATTTCTATCCACAATGTGTTTAATTAGAGTTAGTATATTGTATTGGATAACTCGAGAAATGTTTATAACGAAATTTTTCCCAAATCATATTGTATGTTCAGTACGTTTAATGAACCTATCGTAAGTATGTAAGATAATGAACAAATAATCAGTTATTATTGTTCAATATATTTATGTGTAATGCACTAAACATCCATGTACTGTGATTGTTTAAATGTGTTAAAAATTAATTATAAATAAAGGAATTTCAAATGTACAAGAAAATCAAATTATAAAATATAAGGCAATTTTACGGAATAATATTGTAAAAAACTAAATGCATAATATTCTGTACATGTTTTGACGGTTACCTTCTAGAAAACTTGTAAAAAATCATACTACATTATTAATTCTGTATGTTAAAATATTTGTTTTCATTTATTATATTTAAAATGTTTCAGCATATTATGTGCTTTAAAATTACAACTACAATGAATTATTTAATTTTTACATTTATATAATAATAATAATTATACATTTGTAATTTATCTTCTGAGAGTTCCTCAGTATCTGTTAGGAGGATGTCTTGGGACAGTTGAGTTTATTTCAAGTTGGTAATGGCGGCCTCTGTTTGTGTCTTTAAGCATGGCGTTGATATTTTTAAATAGGGTTTTAATCTAGGTATTTATTAGGGGTATTCTAGTGTCATTGTGGATGTGGCGGTTTCTTATAAACCATTGTGTTTTTAAACATTTCCTAAGGACTTTATTTGGGAGAGCTTGGATTTTTTTTATTTTAGTGGACGAGGCTACTGCCCGACGGGGCAGGCGTACATCACTAGTGGTTTGATTATTAAGGTACATAGAAGGAGTGATGATTTGATTTGATGTATTGTTTTACAGTTGACTAAAGGGTAGAGAATTATCTTCCTTGTATAGCCCTGTACAAGATTTTTGTTTACATGAATGTTTCAAGTGAGTTTTTCATCTTGATGGATGCCTAAATATTTGACTGAGTCGTCTTTTTTGTTCCATTGGACCTGGTTGTGGATGAGAATTTTTGTGGGATTGATATATATTTTTAGGATGAAAATTTTAATCTCATTTTTAGTTGGATTTAGGTTCATCTTCCATTTATTGAACACGGTTGTTATTTAATTTATTGAAGATTGTAGTTTTTAAATTGAGGAATCTAAAAAGTTGTGTGAGAATTGTCGTGTCTTTAGCAAATATTGCTAGTTGAGATTCAGGAAGAATAGAAATGTCATAACAGTAAATATTAAATAAAGTTGGTCCCAAGACTGATCCTCGGGTGACCTCAGCTTTAACGTTGTGTATTTGGAAGAAGTCTGTTTGAATTCTGATTGATGGATCCGTTGGATATGAAGGATTTAATAGTTCTGAGTTTGAGATATGTAGAGATATTAAAATATTAAGAAAGTATACATAACGAATTGTATATGATTATAAATAAAAGAATAAATAAATTAAAATACCGTTTTTCAAAAGAAGTTAATAAATCTTGCAAGAAAATATAAAACTCAAGTATTTGCCTTTATTATAGGTGCACTGACTGCTAAAATATACAAAACTAAACATCATTCTCGAAATAGTATGAATATACTTGATTCACATTTGTATCTCACTGATTTTGATTTCTGAATCAAAATTAATATATATATATATATATATATTTGTATCATAAATGGTTTTTTATGATATTAGTATATCATTAAATTCACAGCCTTGATCATTATGTTGCCTATGTGATTTATGAACAAGTAACATCGATGATAACATACGAGAAATTAGTAATTAACCGATTCGTAATACATAGGTAGGATTATTGTGTTCCACAAGTGGAGAATTCAATAGATTCGTTTTTTATGATACATTTGATTAATTGCTGTATAGTACAACGTACAACCGAGAAAATAATTTAGATTCGCCTTCGCAGTGAAAGAAACACATTTTAAGGAATATAGATATATTATATCATACCGTGCGCATGTATTATAAATCGTTAATTTCTGTGTTGCGTCACGACGAGTTAACGAGAAATATTTTTGTACGTTTCGACGTTCATGTAATAATAATAATAATAATAATAATAATAATAATAATAATAATATACAATTTTACATTATAATATATAACTATTAGGTACCAGTAGTAGTGTGAGTAGTGAATACCCAGCGGGTGTTATTGTTGGTGCACGAGATGGGTAGAAGCCGCCTAAAAGAATTCAGTGAATCGCTGCTCGGTAATCGTTCACTTGGTAATCGTTTTATTTTTTTTTTTTTCGTCTTACCAACCCATGATCGTTCGAAGGTTTCAGTCGAATCGATGCATTTTCGGCGCAAAAGCAGTGCTATAATCATAATAATAATAATAATAATAATAATAATAATAATTTTCGGCGTGTCCGTTACAATGTTACACTACGCATTGGGTATGACGTACGAATGTAATATCGTAAGACATGTTCGGGTGTTTCCGTTTCCCGTCGGAACCCGAATGAAATTTGGTCCGCGTCCGCCGTCGAGCACGACGGAAAACGCGGGCAACAAACACGTCTGGTACGCGTCGACCGCGTTCGCGGTAAGATAAAACGTTATCGGCCGATTGGCCCGCGCGTTACGTTGTTGCGCCGCGTGCGCAAACTGGAGTACTCGATTCGGGAACGGTGTGCGGCGGCATTCGCGGTCGAGCGTGCACGGGGCGTGCGGCCGCGCGTCCCGACGGCGATAACGTGGCGACATGCGATCGGCGTGCTCGGGGCCCGCCGCGGTGTACGTGAAACGAAGAGGAACAGGAGAACGAGAAAAAAAAAAAATAAATAAAAATAACGCGGAGTGTTACGCAAGTTCTGGCCGTGCTCGTTGCGTTTCGATCCACATCCGCCGACGAACGGCGTTTTCACCGTTGCACCTGTACGAGTTATCGCATTTGACCTTGAGTTCAGCTGATTAACATGCGCGTGCACGCGTTCCCGGCGGACCCGCGGGCGATTTGTCAGTCCCCCGTCGTCCGGTGATGCGCCCGTAACGTCGGTGCACCACAATCGTACGGCGAACAAAAAAAAAAAGAACGTGCATTCGCGTTCGCTTTGCGGCCATGTTACCGGCCGGCGTGTTGGCCGGGCGCGCCGCGAGATCGCAACGTCGGGACGTGATCGGCGCGGCCCGCTGGTGGTTCCGTGGCCGGAAATGCGCCGGCGCGTTCGCCCGTCCACCGGCACCGGACGGCAACGATCGTCGCCGCTACCACGTCACATCATCGTCTTGTGAGCTGCGACTGTGCGCCCGTAACGGCATCGCCTCCCCCGCGGTCAAGGGCTACTGCAGCAGCAGCAGCGGCGGCGGCGGCCGGAGCAAAATTCAGCCGTTCTTGTTGGCCGACATCGGCGAGGGCATCAAAGAGGTGACCGTCAAGGAGTGGTACGTGAAAGTGGGCGACCGGGTGTCGGAGTTCGACGACATCTGCGAGGTGGAAAGCGACAAGGCTACCGTGACCATAACGAGTCGGTACGCGGGTGTCGTGACCAAGGTGTACTGCGAGACGGGTTGTATGGCCCGGGTGGGCAGTGTTTTGGTGGACATCGAAGTGGAAGAGGACGGCGAGACGGTGGTCGTGGCTGCGGCGGAAGACGCCGAACAACGAGCTGCGGCCGACGAGTTGGTGGCACCGGAAGCGACGACTGCAAATTACCAGGCACGTGACAACGAGGGAAAAGTGCTGACCACGCCGGCAGTGCGCAGGATCGCTGCGGAAAAGGGTATCGATTTGACCGCTGTTCGAGGTACCGGGAAACAGGGTCGAGTGCTCAAAGAAGACTTGCTCGGACCCGAGTTGTCTACTCCGGCTCCGGTGGTTGCGGCTGCAGTCGGTAGCCCGCAAACTACTGAAGCAGGAGACCAGGACTTCATACCGTTGACCGGATATTCCAAAATTATGCGGAATACGATGGAAGCATCGAATAAAATACCGACGATGGTCATCACGGACGAGGTGAACCTGACTCGGTTGGTAGAGCTCAAAACGCAGATGTCTCCGTGGTTGAAGGTGACGATACTGCCGTTCTTGGTGAAGGCTACCTCGCTCGCGTTGACCCGACATCCTTTGCTCAACAGCACTCCCAGCCCAGACTTTTCGTCGTACCGGCCGAACAGGTCGCACAACATTGGAGTGGCCATCGACACGCCACTGGGTCTGGTCGTGCCCAACATTAAGAACGTGCAAACGCTCTCGTTGGTGGATCTGGTCCGCTCAATGGCCCAACTCCGGACCAAAGCGGAAAACGGAAAACTCACGCCGGCCGATGTTACCGGTGGTACGTTCACGTTGTCCAACATGGGCACGATCATGGGTTCAACGCTGACGCCAAAGATCCTGCCGCCCGAGTTGGCCATCGGCGCGCTGGGTCAGATGAAGTACCGTCCGCGGTACGACTCGCAGGAGCGGCTGGTACGAACACCCGTCATGAACGTGTCCTGGGCGGCCGACCACAGGATCCTGGATGGCGCCACGGTGGCCAGGTTCTTCAAAGACTGGAAGACGTACGTGGAAAACCCGTCGTTGATATTGGCCAACGTAGAACTCTAACCCGAGAAATGAACGGGAACACTGTGATCGACGTCGGAGACTATAAATGCCCGTAAACGAATTCGTATACATATTGTTTGTTATTGTTTTTTTTAATATACATTTTTATGCGACAATTTTAGTTAATCTTAATAATTGTAATACGACCATATTTATTTTTCGCTTTTACAACATAAATTAACTGTAACACAGTTGACGCCCGAGGTGTTCGTGCCCTCTGACCTTTTTAAACGCACCGTTGTACGGTCTACGTGAATAATATTGTCTTAAAAACTGGCCGCGTAAGCGTACTGTACGACAGTGTAAAACTTTTGTTGAATGTAATTTCTAAAGTCCCACGCATGGCGTGTGTGCGTATTGTTATGCGGTACGAAAGCGCATATTACAATACGAGTTTAGTAATCCGATTCGCCCACGCTCGTACACCGAAGACAATACGATTCACCGCGGACAAGCCGAGACGATGCATTTTTACATGATTTCATGTCGGAGACATATTACGATTCGGCCAAATGGGTTTTTTATCCGGTGTACCGTGCGTTTTCAATACCGATGATATTATCATGATGATAGCATCTAGATTTTGTTTTCGAATTAAACAGCGACCGCCCGGATGATCGGTCCAAAGAAAAAAAAAATATATCATTAATAATGACAAATCACGAGGTATTCGAACAATACACTTGCACTGGACTAATTTGTTTTTTTGGGTTCTCATCAAGGTTATATATTTATAGGTACTAATATCATCACCTTTTGTCAGTCCGCTAACACGCGGTGTGCATTAATATGCGTATTATTTTAAAATTACTATCTGACAATTAAAGAGGATACGTATACATTATATTATTATAGCTAGCATTCAAATTGGTAAAATAAAAGTAGATAGACGTGGTCATGTGATTATTTAAATTTAAAAATAAAAGACACATCATTCAATTTATGTCTGGCAGTAAGTTTGTGTAGGTCTAGTTTTTTCTAGCAATTTCTTTATCAACTATACATTTTGAATTAAGATGTTTTAGAAATTATATACTCATAATTTTTCGTTTATTACACAAAATATGTGAAGGAGCACTGAATTATTCTAAAAAAAAAAAAAAAATCATTAAGGTAGTTATACTGAACCCCTCGGGTCCAGTCTATTTGAGCATTGGACGTTTATAGTGGATGTTATGTGAGAAGTGACAATATATTGCATCAGATTAAACTTTCCAAAGACGTCATTGAACTGAGCTGACGAACCTATAGCATGGATGTTTCACGGTGCTGAACGAATTCGAACGGCACACGCAAAAACAATAAATAATTAAAGCGGATTGAATTGGATATTATTTTTAAATACAAAAAAAACGTGATATGGATTCAAACGAAATGAATAAAGCAATTTGTAACAATTATGTCTAACATTCTAGTATTGTGTTTAATATGTAAAAAAAAAAAAAAAATGTGCTGGACGCAAAAAAAGTGAAAAAAAAAAAAAAATTAGATCAAACATCGAACTACCAATGCCTTGACAGAACCCGTACGCGGTGCCAAGTTTGATGATCTGAACGAGTTCGAGCGCACGTACAAGTGTGGTACGGTGCGCGTGATGTTGTCCACGACGTCCAACAACCGAATCGGGGCGCGAAAATGTTCGTCAACCCCGGCACAGGAGAATATCGAACACAACACAAAACCATTATTGTCGAACGTGTGCCGTACGCGTGAAGTGTTATCCGCGCGGATTATGTACACGCGCAGGTGTAACGTGTAGCGGTTCTCATGCGCTTACTCGGAACGCACAATGCTCGTCGCCGAACGTGTTATAATGTTCTTTTGTTCGTTATTCCCGTCTCGTCGGCAGGCGTTTCGCTGATGCGCGATGTGTACGTACGTACAATTATCGCGCACAAGATCAATGACCTTCGAAGTTTTCCACTGCTCGCTTCTCCTATGCGTACGCGCACACGTCGCGCGTTGTGCTGAAGGCGTTCGATCGTCTTGCTGCGGTTATTTATTTTTTTTTCGCCGTCGTAAGTATACAATCATACTCCCGTTGACGATCGTCATCGCCGTCGGGGATTGCCGCGCGCGTAATCAATCATCCCGTGCGACTTCTCGTCGCGATACGATTGCGTTACGCAGCCGCGATCGGGACGTTAATGCTCGTCCGCGGGCGTTCCGAACGCGCACCGGACAATGCGTCTAGACGTGGTGTCGCTGGGCTACTCGGGGACCCGTATCTCTACAACGTCCGCAAAGCCGTTGCGATCGTGTCGTTTGTCGAGGCACCGCGGTGTTGCGGAATCGACGCGACGTCGCGGCTACCGGTCCGTTTAACGACACGTTAGTCAATCCGTTTCGGTCCGACCGTAAAAATATTTCGTATTGTTAACCGCGGCCACCGACGATAAGTGCGGTTCAACGCGTCGTCAGTTTCCGGACGGTTAAGACCGTTCCAGTTTATATAGAGCGACGCAGTCGTTTTCAAATCACGTGTACCGCAACCTGTCCATCATTAGGTTACCACCGTAAGCCCTATGGCCGTGGTTGCCCCGGGGCTTCGTCGTTTTAATGATAATATTGAAACAATATTTCATTGTTATCTCGACAGACTGCCTCCGTATAGTTGTGTTATAATATCCGTATACATGCCACACTCGACGTAGAGAATGTGTCATCTCAACATTAATTACTGACCATACTAATGTATGTACATACTTAAAACTACAGTATGAATATAAACTAATACATACCAAATATACTGGGTGTATTGTTTAATTTCAACAGTTGTTGAGTTCGTATTTGTGTTCGATAAAAGAACACCGTTTTCCACCGAGTAGCTGATTCGGCGAATTCCTACAACGGAAATCGTATCCGTGTGGGTTTTTCAGCCGATTTGAGACGTACACAGAGGTGACTTGATGATGGGCAAAGGGTACTTGCTGTTGATTTCAGTTATTTAACTGATTGTGTATATTGCTTGTGTACTTTAGGAATGTTATTTTTGACTTTTTCGGTTTTCGGTGACCTGCAGAGGAATAAGTTGAAAACATTAGTGTCGGCGACCGATCGACCACTTTTTTGGTACATTAATATATCAGCTTCTCTCTCTCTCTCTCCAGTCTTCAATCCTTAGATTGGTTTGCTGCAGTTCTCCATGCTTCCCTATCATTACTCAATTCCTTTAGTTTTTTATAACTATTCTTCCCCATGTCACTTATTATTTGCTTCATATACTCCATCCTTGGTCTTCCTCTTCCTATATGGCCTTCCACATCGCTCTCTATGACGGTTTTTGTTAGACTCTCATGGCGTAGTAGATGTCCTATCATTTTAGTTCTTCTAACTTTTACGGTATGCCATAGTATTTTCTTTTCTTTTATTCTATTTAGTACTGCTTCATTCGTTATTCTATCAATCCATTTAATTCTTAACATTTTACGATAACACCACATTTCGAAGGCCTCTAGTTTTCTTTTCTCTATTGCACTGATTGTCCAGGTTTCACAGCCATATAAGGCAATACTCCATTTATATATTTTTAAGAACCTTTTCCTTACCTCTAAGTCCATACTATTGGTGGTTAGTAGGTGTTTTTTATTCTGGAAAGCCCTCTTCGCTTGCGCTATTCTACTTAGAATTTCATCTTTACAACGGCCATCTTCCGTTATTTTACTTCCTAAGTAATTAAAGTGTTGTACTTGATCTATGCGTACGTTATCTATGTATATATTAAGTTGAGCAGGGATTGTCAGCTTATAAATTCAGAATTATTCGAACTATTTGAATCTTTCAACAATCAGCTTTTTTTTTTTTAATTCATATGGCAGACAATCAGCTAATATGTCTACTGTTCAAATTGCAATTGTATTAGGTTTTAATGAATAAATAACATATGATTGCTATAAAAAATATTAACAATTAAAAATCTATTCGATTATGTTTACCATTATGTTAACGAATAAGTGTATAATATATATATTTAATTAAATGTATACATAAAGCCATGAGTAGGTATAAATGTATTCTCAAAATCAGTCGAACAAATTATGGTTCTTTTATGAAATATAATTGAATTGTTATTCGTGTCGTTCAATTAATGGTGTTGAACATTGATCGGTATGTTAGATATTTGTATCGTAAGACCAGAAAACTGTTTCTGTAAAATATAGTAAGTTTGAGAAGCAAAGTTTAAAAGGTCATGATAAAAAAATCATCGTTCGTTGGCTTATAATATAGATAAATGTGTAGTCTCACAAATTTAAATTGTTTAAGATTAGAAAAGAAGTAATCAAATTTTTCATGAGAAAAAATTCATTCTTAACATGCATTTGTACACAATTGTTTTTAAAAATGAAATCTTACAATGATTTACATAAAATTTTCTCATTGATATTAATCAGCAATAATTAAACAGTTTCTTTTATACATTGTATTAATTGTAATTTTTGTATAGTAACATCTTATTGTTCAGAATAATAATTCTACTAAAATGTTGATTTAAACTTGATATTTTTCTTCTCTAGGAATATTATTTTATTCAGTGAGAAATATTACTACAAAACGTGGATTTAATTTGAAAATAAAAAGGACATTGTTTTGATATTAATATTGTTACATTTTTTTTAAGCAGAAGAAAAACTACAATAATTGAATGTTTTTTAAATGAAATTCATTTTTTGGAAATATTATTACGATTTATATTATTTTATTTATATTTTGAAATTTAAAATTTATTTTTATATTTATATTTTTCAAAACTTACAAATAAGGCGTTATAAGTCATTACAAATAATAGGTTTGAAAATTCATTAATATTCAAGTGGAACAATAAACAACAATAATCATTAAATAGTACCCAATAAATGAAATAAAGTCGATTTAAGTGTTTGACAAAATGTAGTTGAAAATTTCCTTGAAACAATCAAGTGGTTTTTTTTATAACTTACCTTTGAAATTATTAAACTACTTGGGTTACAATATATAATATGGGTTATGTAGACATTTAAAATCATTGAATATTTACTACTTTAAAAAATATGTGTGGACAGATTTCGAAATTATTCTTATAATATAGTCTTTTGTTCGATTTTTGTTTGGGTCTAAAATATTCGAAATAGTTTCCAAATATTATTAAACTCATTGAAATTTGAAAGATTTCAACAAAATAAGCATTACATTAAATGCAGACACGTAAATAGGTGCTTATTTATAGGTGGAGGAGAGGGGTATTAACCTTCTTCAAAATTAAATAATATAAATAATGAAATAAAATGGCTTGAATAATGTGCAATATAGTATGTACCATATATCTTAATTCGTGGTTAATTCAGTATGGCCTTTGGTGGGGAGGACGATTGTACTTATTACTCCCCCCTCACGAAATTACGTGCCTGATTAACTGAACATCATTTAAAGTTATGGTATTAATTCAAGGAGATTTAGTTTCATAATTTTATTCTGTTGTCATGACATGGTTTATAAAAATGTTCGATATTCAATTAGCGTTTTGTATTGAGCCAAACAATTATACGTACAATTCAATACAGAAAATTCTTACAAAACAAACACATGAAAAAAATACAGCCGAATTTTTGTTAATAAGAGCTTACACATATTCACCTAGAGAGAATGGTAGTGAAATTTTTACGATGGTACGTCGATAGGCTTATTTTAAAAAGTGTTTGTTTACCTTTTCTTATCTTGGTAAAAATACCACATGTGAAAGTTCTGTCCAATAAATATTATTATAAATAAAGAATATTAAATAAAAATGTTAATGAATGGATGCACGCTGTTCATAAGTATTGTCAGGCTCATTTAATGCAATACAATTTACATTAAAGTGTAGAAGGTTTTCTACGGCGTTTTATAATTTATAAACCGAAAGCAAAAAACGGTCCTAAGAGTTTTATTAGTTTTTTTAAGAACAACTGTAAAGAAACTGTAAAAAATGTATTACAAAACTTCAGAAGCAAATAAATAAATATCATTATATATTATTATCCAACATAAAAATAAGGCATATATTATAATTTATAATTTACCATGACTACGAATCAAACAGACCACTAACAAATGTTTAGATAGTTGCTTGTTTATCAATCAGTTGACCGTTCTATATTGTTAAGTTAAATTTATGAAAATTTGATATAGAATATTAACTTTATAAAACAGTTTGCTCTCAATAGCCTTGTCATACATTGATATTTAGATCGATGAAAAAAATGTATAAGTGTTATATGAGAAGTCAAAACATTATTGCCACTCGACAAATGAGTAAGTTTTTATACAATAAATTAGACTTCCAAAATAAATAAAATATGATTTATTTATTTAAAAATGTATTTAGATGCTAATAACAAAATGGAACAGAAAATTAATTCAATTAAAGATTATACATTTGGAATAAAATATGATCAGTCTCAACGAATTATTGAAAGAAGTCAAAACAGTCATATATACAAATGGGTTAATCCTGACTTAGTTTTGAACAATCAAAAAATAAATCACCCAAAAATATGTAGAAAAGGGCCATTCAATAGAAACTATTATGGCCCAGGCAATAGTAAATCAGGTAGTTTAATAGTTTATATAAATATTATATAAAACAGGGTTTCTGCAAGAAAACAAACAATTTAATTTTTACCCATTTAATGTTAATCTTTTATCTCTAACATATATTGATTTTCATTGGCATTTAAAATGTGTTAAATGCAAGAGAAGCATAATATGCTTATACATATTATGTACATACCAATTTAAATGTCTAAAAATTTATTTGATGTTGTTCTCTTACGAGTATGAATAATATAATCACAAAATACAATCATCTAATTTAAATGTATAAGATTATATATTATATATTTATAAAATTTTTTAGGGCCTCCGATGCACAACCATAAATATTTGGTTCAGAATATTGAAAGATGTTATGGTAATCGAGGTCACTTGAAATGGGTAAATCCCGATTGTTGTTCTAACAAAAGGAAAATTGAAAAGCATCAACAGGATCAGGCACAAATACTTTACATCAATGGACCACAAACACTTGAAAAATGTAGTGACAGCCATGGTGATTTGAAATGGATCAACCCAAATTATGATTCTAAACAAAGTAAAAGGTTTCTAGGAACTAAAATCTAGAAAATGTAGAAATCTACTTCTAAAAAAAAAAGAAAAAATGATATAAAAACTAAAAATTTATAGAAATAATTTTCTTACCTCTACTATTTTTGTATTTCATTGATATGCCAATTATGTATTTTTGTATTTCGCATTTAAATGCATTTATATATAATAACTAAAATATACGTAAATATTTATTTAATAAAAGTAAATAATTGTTAAATAATTGTATTTTTTAATTAAAATATTGTAAATTTAGTTCATAATTACTTTTAGAAATGGTTAATTTTTTGTATTATAAGATAATTTGGATTCTTAGATCTTACATCTAGATCAACCAGATCCAATAACTCCTGGTTACAACTTGTGGCGCAACTAGGGCAAAATGTCTGGGTGGGCTAAGTCTCCTTTAGTAATTAATGAAAAGTGGCAACATACTATTGTTATTTTGCCGCGCGACATTTTTACCGAGCTGTAAATCGTTTTGTTAAAAAAACATTAAAAAATAACGCGTGGCATTTTAGAAATGTCGCGTGCACCTTAACTTTACTACGCGGTATAAATACTGCGCGACGAGAAATCTCAGTCGAAATGCATTATAATGATAGGTGGAGAACACACACGCAGTAATAAAACGTGCGACCGATAAGTATTTTATTTTAATATTTGTTCATTCTTCATTATTAAGTATTAACAATCAACTTGTTGTCAGAGAAAGATTCTGAAATCGGCATCTCAAATTGAATCGTAATCTGAAATATATGAAGTACAGAATAGTTAGTAGACACAGAACTTGATATACAGATTTTAATTTCGCTTATTGAAAATATACCTATTTTATTGGACAAGATGTTTGATAATTTTTCAGACCGCAATGAAAAACGAAAAGCTTGGAGGGAAGTGTTTGGTTTGATATAACAAGGATTTTAACATCTTTATTAAAAGGACTAAAAATATATAAATATGTAAAATACACTATTATAAATAAAATAAATATATATCAAATTACTTAGAAATTTTATTCTTAAATCGCTGCAATCAGCATTATTATTCATCGTATATATTTACCAATAGAATTTGATGGTGGAACATTTTTAAATTAAAGTTTGCCATTCAACGTCTCATAGTATAATCACGTTGTTTTCAATCACGTCCGGTTGATAAACCAACAGATAAAAATGACTTCAGCATTTCGTTCACTCGACGTTTAGCTAACTGTTGAAGTTCTGTCGTGACGAACAGTTCGAGGCAGAAAACATCAACGTGATATCAGTCATCGCGTCGTAGTTGTAATTGTTCTATTTTCAGGTCGTTCGACTATTTGGTCGGTTTGATTTGCACTTTCGTACCGTTATGCCAATTAGTGACCATGTTCTTGTGTTTCCTGGTAAACAGTATTGTCGATGTATTGCAAAGACTACTGTATTACGTTTACGAAACTGATAATTTTCGTACTGCAGACGGTTTTGCTGTTAGCGTTGATGGCATTTTGAATAAAGTACTTATTCGACGTAATATTCGGTCTGGTCAGCGCGACCGTGGTTAATTTCGTGAACATTTTTAAATATTTTTGAACGCCCACCCGTAAACGTCAATCGGCATAATGTGCATCAGTGACGAGAACGTCGAAAACGGTCAAGAAAAAGTTATGGCACTGAATACGCAAAATGATGGTTACTCTACAGAGACTACTTCAAGACACAAATTATTTATAAATATTAAAACTGCCATTTTTTTTTTTACGATTATGAGAATACGAGTATGTTATGGTTCTATATATTGGTAGTGCCAGAGACCGGCTTTTATCGGTACGGTTCCAGTACCAGATTCAAAAACATGATTCCGTAACTGGAAAACGTATTTTAGACGATTTGCTGATTAATAGGTGGATGTTTGTTATGATGTCTTAAATTCCGTCCTGATGACTAGCCGTAATTCCAATCTTTTTTGTTCGACTTGTCATCCCCGGATGCTTTTAGACGATACGCAGACGATCCATATATGTGCTCTTTGTAGCAGTCAGGTTTAATCATTTAATGTATTAAAGATATTCTTAATTAAAATGTTAAGAATTATCGTTATATATTCTCAATCTAAGAAAAAAAATTAATATTAATACAATAAATATAATATTGTATATTTATAAGTATATTATACACATATTTTTTTAATCGTTTATTTCTTTTGCAATGAGACAGTTTATATATATCATTGTTGGAGACCGTAATAGACGTAGGCATTGGTAGTTAAATGTAATTAATTTATTTAGTAAATGGGTACATGTAAAATAAATTATAATAATCTTACTAAATTTAAGTTATCCATAATTACTAAAGTTACTGGAGTCATCTAAACAAAACTATAATGATATTAAGATTAAGGATACGTGAAATTGGAACTAGAAAGTTTGTAGAACATTTCAAAAGTAAATACTTAAACAGAAATATTCATATTCAAACTTATCAAACATAATATTTCAACAGTAATTTATAAATCGATTTATATATTGAATTAAATTAATTATTATGTTTGTCATTAAAATAAAATCATTCATTTGACGTAGATGCAATAGCAACAATAGAAATAATAATGAGCCATTACAAATCAGTAAAACAGCACTTACCATATATAGTTTATATTTTGCGTCTACATACAGTTTTCTGCGCACTTTGTATTATTATACGAATTTGTCTGTTTCTGTATTTGAATAACCAAAATTACGCGATGAGCGCCAAAAGATCGTACAACGAGCCTTCGTCAACCAAGGGCTCTTTGATAAATGTGATGATGATTTGACTGGCGATGTGTTTTGGATTGCGGATGACAAACATTTCGTTTGTTACGTGCCAACCGTTTGATCCGTTAATTCAGTTACAACGTCTCAGTCAACGCTTGTGTGGAAGTGTAGTCAGGAATAATTAAGACTTCTTTTTAAAATAATTAAATTTATTTAACTTATAAAAATTATTCTAACTACAAATTTTGTAAATATTCTAGTGATAGAAATTATTTAAGTCCTAACAATTGTACTTATAAAATAATTGGAAATATTTCTAAGTCCAGACCATAACATACACTGACGTGAAGGTGCTCAGTGCAGCATAGACAAGACTCGTCTGATTTGCCCTTGTTTTCGGGTCCCTTTTATATGTGATATTGTATGTGTGTGTGTAAAATCCCAAGTGTGTGTGTGTGTAAATGAATAAGATAATAAAATAAGATAATTCCTATAAATTGTGAGTGTGTGTGTGCGTTAATGATAATAAAATATGATAATTTCTTATTGATTTTGCATGTGTGTGTATTACATAATTACTGATGCAGGGATACAGGATGTGGTCAACCACCCACGTATCTGTGACTCCAATATTCATATTCTTATTTAAACAGATAACCATGTGAACGATTTAACTTATTCACATGCCCAGTTTCGATGTTCATGAGAACCTCTTATAATGTGTGTTTTTATATTATGTGACTACGCAATACGCGACACGTTAATGGTCGTGCACAAACTTCAGCCATAGCAATAGAAGAATCATTCATAACGGATCATCATTTCTACATTCAATATATAACTGACAGTTTCTTTATTATGGATATGAACAATGCATTAGACACCTATTTGGACTGTATACATATTCAAGGAAGTAACCAATATCTTGGCTGAAGAATTTCCAAAAAGTGGTATAATAAAACATCAATTGACTTATTTTGGGCATTACTTGTCAAGAACAACATAGCCAATATGAAACCCAACATCTAGAATAGGTAGGAACTCATAGAAAAAGAAGAATAACTGAAAATTAATGGGGATGCAAAGTGTCGTACATCTATCATAACTAAAGATCGGATTTATATGATTTTACATATCGTTATTGGGTCTATGCAGTATTATGAGAGTAAAAAATGTGAACGATTCGTTTAATTCTGAATTCGTAGAAAAAAAGTTTTTTTTGCATATTTGAGAATATTTCATAAAGTAGAGAATATTTAGCTCATTTAGCATATTTTAGAATATTTGACTTTGGTGTCTTCGTGGCAGATTGTACAAACTATTATCTGCAAACTAACCATATACCTGATGAAAAGGGTAACACAATAAAAACTTTAGTGTCTCAATTATGTCAACAATATTAAGGTTACCAAATGTTAGTAAAAGTTGGGAACATTTTATGTAGAAACAATGAAGATGTCCAAAATATTTTACACCCAGTGTAGTTGCTGACATGAAGTTTGCACCTCTAACATTTGTGATGTTGAACGTTCATTTAATCTCTGTAAACAAATTTCAAGCAATAGAAGAACTAACATGAGAACAGATAATATAGAAAAATATATTATTGTTAATTTATATAATATAATTGAAATAGTATTTCAAGTTTCTTTTTTATTCTCCATAAATATTTACTATTGTATGCATCAAAGGAATAATGTTTTTTTTTTATACATATATATATATACCTATATTTTTACTTTATATCTTGTATTAAATAATAATTATTTAAAGATTAAAATATTAGGTGCCTTTTGTTAACTATTTTTTTTAATTATATTTTAATACGAGTATATATGATTATTTGTTATTTTCATAGACCGGCCTTGCCTATATTACTAACATTACGCGTCGTGAGCCGTGATAGAGGGCGCGAATAAGTGACTGAGTGACTGATGCACGCACGCAATTTTTGTGCACACGTGACAACTCACGCCTGTTACAATATTAATAAGTATTGTAACACAATTGTGTTCATTGCAGCCAGTGTTTATTTCAGGGGTGACCTTGGGGGGGGGGGGGTTAATACCCCCCTGGAGAAAAATGTATACCCCTTCGAAAAAAGGTACGACATTATTACGTAAACTGTTTATTGTGATGCAATTATGTGTGAAATGAGTTATCGATGGATTTTCAATTATTTTGTGCGTAGATGATATAATAAATATATATTTAATATAATAATATCTTGGGTATTACTTTTTCGTACATCAATATTGTCAATTAATGTATACCGATAATAATCGTAATCTATATATTGTTAAATATTGTTCGTCAATATAATCGATTGTAGATGAGTACCTTTCACTTGTGGGTAATTTTCAAAACATGCTGTTGTCTGTTGACTGTCAGTGTAGTGGATTACGCATTTACGACTACGTAAAACTGTATAAGTAATGTATTGCTAGTAAATGTGTGTTATATTTTTTTTTTCATATAATTAATCAAAATTAGATTATTAATTACTTATGTATTCTTAGGTATTAATCTGATACCAATAAGTTGAGCTTAAAACGATATTTTTACTTTCCTTAATTATTTCTTTCTAAGGCATACCCCCTTAAAAATTTACGATACCCCCCGGGATAGAAGATCTGAAATAAACACTGATTGCAGCTTGTGATAATCATTAATCACTATAATCTTATCAATCACAATAAAATATTCATTAAAGTGATTGCTAAAAATTTTTATAAGGCATCAATACATTTGAAATGGAACACTTGTCCATCCCACAAATTTCTGACCTCTTCATCTGTTGGAAAACTATTTTACTATTATTTTTTTTTTAATTATATTACTACAATATCTACTAATGTTTTATTATTTATTTGTGCAATGTTATTGGAGAATATTTGTCATTATATCCTCCATTACAAAATGGAATGAGGCATTTGTAAACCATATTGAAAAATTATTAAAATAATATTATACCTATTATAGAATACAAATATAAATCGTTAAAAATTTAAAACCAGGAATAGTCGGAAAATCAAATAACAGCTGATGTCTAATAATTGTACACTCATACTTAAAGAGACACGGAGCACAATTAAACGTAGATAACACACGCGCGTACGCGTGAACAAAGATAACGGAGAGAGTAAACGAACGTGTTGACTCCACCGTGGTCAAGACTGTACTTGATGTACTTGTTTATGTATACCACACGATTAAAAGAGTGTTATAAAAAAAAAAAAAAAAAAAAAAATTAAAAATGCATATTAAACTATATATTGATGTTTGTTGTTTATTTTTGCATAATTTCGAATATCTTTGCATATTTTTAAAATTTTTAAGAGAATATAATGAGAATATTTGAAGATTTTTTAGAGAAAATTAGCATCATATTTAAGGTATTTTAAGAGAATATAAATCTGGTCATTAATCATAACGTTTAAATTGTTACTTTCAGTTTATGTTAAATTTGTTAATTTAAATTTTTATTTTTCATTTTATATAAAAGAAACAATGAAAAAGGATGTCCATTGATGAAACCACTAAAGTTTGAGAGTTTTGCATAATAATTCCTTTGTGTAGAGGTACAGAATAATCAAGTTCAGTATATCAATCTAAGATTTTAATTTTAAAAATTTCATTTTAAGATTTTAAGATTTAAATTGAAAATAAAATTGTATAAAATTGATATGAAATACATATAATTATTAATCTAATTAAATAATATTAGCAAGTATTTATATATATTGCAAATATCATTATTACAATGAATAAAGTCAAAAGTCGGATCTTAATCTAGTGTCGATGTATATTTATTTATCAAGCAAACTTTTTGCGACCAAACGATACGTTTTACACCCAATGGTTGCTCAATAGTTTATTAATTTAATTCACTTCGGGTAAAGAAACTGTAACGTTATAATGCATTAAAATTGATAAGATGGTAAAAACCAATTAATATATAATAATTTATTTTAATAGTAATATTTTTATTTTTAATTTTTTTAAATCCCAAACGGCAATTTATGATTTTGGTTTGATTTCAATTTTCAATACATAATAATTTTGAATAAAAGTTTAGGTACGTATTGGACGTTATAATAAAATATTCTTCTTCTTCTTCCTCAGCATATTGGTCTATTATGTGCCATCGCTGTATCCCAAAACCTCTCAATTTCTCTCTATCATATGAGTCGTCAAAAGATTACTCGTCTTCTATGTTTTTGATATCTCGAGCTATAACGTCCACCGATCGAGTCCTTGGTCTTCCTAATGGACGTTTTTTTTATTTATATTGTTGACTAAAACTTCTTTTATTACTTATTCATATGATTATTTATTATTATTCAACATACGCATATGGCTTATATTAATATTATAATTTATAATTTACCATGACTACGAATCAAATAAACTACTAACTAATGTTTAGATAATTACTTGTTTAACAATCAGTTGACCGTTCTATATTGTTTAGTTAAATTTATGAAAATTTGATATAGAATATTAACTTTATAAAACAGTTTGCTTTCAATAGCCTTGTCATACATTGATATTTAGATCGATGAAAAAAATGTATAAGTGTTATGTGAGAAGTCAAAACATTATTGCCACTCGACAAATGAGTAAGTTCTTATATAATAAATTAGACTTCCAAAATAAATAAAATATGATTTATTTATTTACAAATGTATTTAGATACTAATAACAAAATGGAGCAGAAAATTAATCCAATTAAAGATTATCCTTTGGAAATAAAGCATGGTCAGTCTCAGCGAAATATTGAAAGAAGTCAAAATAACCACATATACAAATGGGTCAATCCTGAGTTAGTTTTGAACAGTCAAAAAATGAATCATCAGAAACTCTGTAGAAAAGGGCCATACGATAAAAAATATTATGGTCCAAGCAATAGTAGATCAGGTAGTTTAATAGTTTATGTAAATATTATATAAAAAAGGGTTTCTGCAAGAAAACAAACAATTTATTTTTACGATTTTAAATGTTAATTTTTTATATATGAATAATATAATCATAAAATGCAATCATTTAATTTATATGTATAAGAATATATATTATATATTTATAAAATTTATTAGGGCCTTCGAAGCACAACCATCAATATTTGGTGCAGAATTTTAAAAGATGTGATGGTAATCGAG